TTTGCCTTTGCTCAGGGGTGCCCAGGACTCTGAATCCCGGCGGAACCCGGCGGGGTTTGGGTGCCGGGCATCCTTCTGGATCGCGTTCCCATGACTTTTGCCTTGTTAGGGAGGAGACTGGGGCAGCCGAGGAGTGTTTTTGTTTAATACTCGAAGTGAAGTGAATTCCTGGAGCCTTTCTCATGTTTTCTGGTGGTTCAGCTGCCGATGTTAAAGCACGCACGTAGGGTGACGCTGTTTGAAATCTGTGCCGTGAATGCAGGCGGGGCGCAGGGCTTTGGGCAAACAGGCGGAGCGGATGGAGGATGTGCTGCCCAGGGCTGGGGTGATGGGAATGAACTGCCCGTGCGGACCCCTGGTGCAAACCGCGGGGATGGGGTGTCAGGGACAGTGCAAATGAGGAAAGGAATGCGGGGAGTGTTCACTGCCTGSCTTTAGGTGAGTGCTCGCTCAAGGGCGGCTTTGCAGTCCGGTTTTTTGTAAAGTGTGGCTGCTCCGATTCTGGTGGCAAAAAAGTGCGCTGAGAAAACTGCTGACTAAGCTCTTTTAGGGACCCAAGTGAAAGTGAAGTCACACAATTCTATGCTTACAGTGTTTTTTCTGTGAGGTGGAGAAACCCTGAGCGATTTCTCTGCATACAGGACAAAGCTTTTTTTCTTGGGAGAGTGGTAATGACTGGCTGGGGAGSAGGGAACAGAAATTTTGGAGCCTGAGGCTTTTAAACATGAGCTGCTCATTTTGCTGCTAACTCGCTTTGCCCTGTCTGGGGACTGAGACTCTTCTGGAGCTGTAAAAGWAGGAAAAGCAGGAGCTGAAGACAACACTTGGTGTTGCCTGGTTTTGTGCACCGAGAGCACTGACAGGGAGAAAATGCAGTGAGGGAAGGTGAGCGTGCTTGTCTCTGTGTGAGTGCAGGGAACTCAGCAGTGAGCTCTGAAAGCAGCAGTGGTTTGTTCAGAAGGGAGCGTGGCCAGATATTGCAATTACCTGATGTGGGAGCTGTGAATCACAGCCCTGGAAATGCCTGCCCCAAGGCAGGTCCTCCCTCATCCTCGGCTTGGATTGTTTTCCTTSTGCCTCACGAATATGCAATAAGCGYTGTTTTCTATCACTTTCAAAGTTGTTGGGTTTGTAAGGTCAGTGGCCCGGCTCGCTGAGCTCTGAATAGCCAGTTCATGTGGGTTTGTGAATTAATCCCGTGTGTGGGCATTAACTCCCAGGTGAAATGCCCCTGTGCACACCGATAGGGATGCGCTGTCCCTGTCCTGGGCAGTGTTTGTGTTTGGGTGAACAGGAACCCTCCAGGCCACCGCTCCTTCTCTTCTGGTTTTGATTGGTATAAATATAAGCTGAGTCTTCTGCTTCAGAAAGCCAGGCTGCCCACACATCTGTCTTAAAAGGCTTTCGGAGAGGAACCCAAACGAGGCTTTTTTTGGTGTCTGTGTAATGAATTTTACTTTCTGACACGACTGTCATCAGTTGCTATTAAAAATGCCTCTATCCAAACAAACAAGGATTCAGCTGGCACACCTTCTCCTTAGTGCTGGAATTCCTGTAAGGCTTTAGGGCAGGGGGAATGGGAGTATCCTACAGCTGGGTGAGAGTTGTTTGTCAGGAACTCTTTCTGATAACTATGGGGCAGTGCTCTGCAATTCTGATGTCATGGGTCAGACTCCGGGAGGGCGGCAGCGCTTGTTTGTTGGGGACTAAAGAATGAGCTGCTTTTAAAGGCAGATATAAAAACTGACTCAGAACCAAAGCTAAATTAGAAAAAGAGGGGGACTATTATGTTGTTCAGTGAATGTGCTAAATACAGTATTTCTGTTAGCTTTCCTACCTTTTATTATTCACTCAGTGATTAGTGGCAAGAGTTTTGAAGAGCTCTTCTGTGCTGTGTRCTCTTTGGGGCATTTCATCCCTCCCTTCCCTTGGACACTGCAAACACCAGCAGAGGACCAGACTTAAACTTTTTTCTGACCACAGCCAGCTTAATATTTTGAGATGTGATCTGTGTGCCAAAGCACTCAGGCTTTTTTTTATTTATTTTTTTTTTAATCCGGAGGAGTGCTTAATCCTAAAAAAAAGGGCTGTTGCTATTACAGAAGTGGGACAGCTACMCACCCATAACTCCATTTCTGTTGCTTCTTAGCCCATTATAAATCTCTGGCTCTGCCCAGGGGGAGGAGAGAGAGAGGTTTGGGATGTTAAAGTGCTTGTCAGAGCCCTCCTCAGAGCTGCCGTGACCAGAGCACTTCTGTGGGATGTGCGTGCRTTCCTAATAATAACATGTTTCCTAAACAAAATTACAAATTGCTTCAGTAGATGCAGTAACATTCCATTAACTTAGTGACCTGCAGAAGCACTGCGAATATAAATAGATTTATTTTCCTGTCTCTAGGCCAGAGCTTTTTTTTTTTTTGTTTTGTTTTTGATTTAAGAACCCAACAAATCTTCTGTACAGTGAGATGTCAGCTGGCATCAATAAACAGTTTGCACCAGTCCCTACAGTCCCTTGGCTCTCCTGCCTATGGAGTGTGAGTTGTGGCATCACTCTGGTGCTGCTGAGGAGCAGTGAGATTCTGAGGATAAAACAGAGCCAGCCCAGTGACTGTGGGGAGGTGGAACACGTGTGTGCACAGTGAAGTGAATTAAAATTGATTTACCTGTCTTGTCTATGCAGATAAGGGGAAGAAATTAAGTRCAACAGCACTGGTCAAAAACCAATAATCTCCAGCTAAAATACATTGAAGGATCACAGGTTTGCAATGAGCATCTTCTAAAATTAAAAAAAACAAATTCATTTTCACAATGCACAGCTCCGTGTAACTGTTTTGCTTTGAGAAGATGAAATCACATCTCACATCACACCTTGAAATCACAATCCTGCACACAATGATGTATCTTAGAAGGCACTGTGGTATCCAGAAAGGGAGCGAATAAAAAACACTGAGTAGTTACTATTGATTTCATCAGGCTTTCTGTTACTTCTTCTAGGAAAAGTGAGCTTTCTTCTGTTAAAGATGTTCCCTAAAACATAGAGAACCATTTTGTGGTTCTTAGGATCGAATCCAGTTCTGATTTGAGCTGGTAAGAATGTTCCTGCTGTCTCTGATAGCAGACTGTGTCCTCCTGTGGGTTGTCCTGGCCATCCCATTTGCCAAAGATGGGGCACAAGCAGGGGTACCCCCTGTCCTGCCTTCTSCAGAGATGCACAGAACCACCCCGAGGTGTGTTAGTGACACCTGGGACAGTCTGCCACCCTTCTGAGACAGGAAATGTGCCCCCTGACCAGGAAAAGGCTGCACACTGGAGATGGAGCTCTGCTGGGTGTCACTGCAGCAGCTGACTGAGAAAGCAGAGCTGGTGTACCCCAGAAAGACACTCACACTTGTGTCAAGTACTGCTGTTTGCTATTAAAAAAAATTACTTTTAGTTTATTCTATTTAGTTTATGCTATCCCATTTGACAGTTTTGTTCCTGATAACAAGCTTTGTAAAAACCCCCTGGGATCAGTGGCAGTACAGCTCCCAAGTGGCCGCATTGTCGTGATTTTTAAAAATCTCTCCGTTCCTGTAGAAAATACCTTTGGTTTTTCCCCATAAAATCATCACAGCACTTCAGTAAAATGTCTCTGRGCTTGTCTGCCTTGATTTCYATTCCCCACCAAGGCAAGAGWGCAGGATAAAGCTGCAGTGGGTGAKCTGTGGTGGTGTGATGCTGGAGYGGGGTGAGGGAGGGTGTGGGAACCGCAGCTCTCTCTGTGCRGGGACAGCGCTGGAGCTGATGCTGCTACACAGGATCAGTCATGCATGATGTTCTCTTGTGTTTTCCAGGCWGCTTTGGGATGACTTCACAGCTGAGTGGTAGGGAAGGCCTCCCAGAAAGGCTCTGGACATGAAAAAGAGGTTTTTTTACTGTGTGAAACAGCTGAGGTTTGAGTGGTTATTCGTGGCAAAGATGTTTTGAGTAGCTGTGCTAAATTTTCATGTAAACTCTCACTCTCACCACCCAACCTCATCCTGGTGTCATCAAGAGGAGCTGCTTCTTTGGGGGAGACCCACTTGAGCTGTATCTGAGCACTTGAACAGTGCCCAGAGATGTGAACTTGGCTGCTTTTCTTTCCTTTTCCATTTGGCAGCTTCGCACAGGTTTTCCCTGCTGTGTGAATCCCATGCCTGCTCACAGCCTGTAAAGCATGAGGAGTGGCTCTGAGAGGCAGAGGAGCTGGAATTTCCTCCACCTRCACTGTGCAGTGYTGTAGGATCCCCCCAGGCTGCTSTCTGGGTGTGCAGGGTGCTCAGWGCTGTGYYCATCAGCYCTGGATCCTGTGGAGRGGAGTCCCCACCCCAAATTGTGCCACCATCCTCACCAGAAAGAGCTTCAGCCTCTGCTCAGCCCTTTTCCCTGCTGAGGAAAGCGAG